TGTGGAGCAGTCTTCTAAGAGCTATCATAGCTGCAGGATCCCTTGAGACTTTAAAAAGGAAATTGAAAATGTTCTCATTTGCAAATGCTTACAGTTAGTGAAGCCCATGGCTGTACTAACTGTAAATTAAAGGAGAATTTAATACAGTTTCATGAGCAGAGCTATCAAACACTTTGCATTAAAAGGCACTTTTTTATATTCCTGTGTTTTATCAAGAAGAGATCAAGAAGAAATTGTCTTGTATCAACCCAATAGAGTATTTAATTTACTCCCTATCAATTTACTTGGTAGAGTTAGCATGGGAACTTTCCTTGATATTGTGGGTATGTACCTTTGATATTGGAGTAGCTTTACAGTCCATGTACCCATATATTGACACCATTTTTCCATTCCATCACATCCAAAGCATGAAAGTTACAGAAACATTTACAATGAAGCCTTATGACTAAAGCACTGGACTGGAAATGGAGAGACCTGGGTTCTTTCCCTGGCTCTGTTACTTACTTACCTTTAGTCTGTGGGTAGGTCACTCTTCCTCAGTTTCTCCTTCCATAAACCAGGGATCACAATCCTGGCCTAGCTTTGTAAAAAGTGCTTTGAGATCCACAAATTAACCAGTTAGAAAAGCTGTTCTTACTAACAGTACTACCCAATAGTTCTGTGCAAAATTCCAGTGGCCATTTCATTTTGATGCTGTTTCAACTTGTTCTGAGCTTGAAACAGAGAAATTGAAACAAAACAAAGGGCTTAGAAACAGCCTCAAAATGAAATGAGGGCAGTCAAAGTGTTTCAGAAGTTTCAAACTGTTTCGAGGCTGATGTTGGGTTTGCCTGCAGGGAAACAGAAAGTAAGGAGAGAGGGGGGAAGAACTGCTCTCATTATTGACTGTGTAGCTGGCCAGTGACTGTGATCCTTCCCTGAGGTCCCTTCCAATCTCAGTGCTCGGGGCAGGGATAGAAACCCAGCATAAAAGGCAGCATTGTTTGAGTTGGCCTACTTTCTACCTTGGAGTCTGACAGTTACTGAGCTATCTTCTAGCAGCTCAGAAGGATTAGACAACAAAGGCTACTACTAGCATTGATTTGATTTCCTACTTGCTAGCTTACCAAGTGGGATTCCACAATATCTTTTGCCTTCTTCTAGACCCTTTTATTTTATTATTATATTCATTGATTTATTCTTTTCAATTTCATAATTATGTTGGGTATTATGCTATAGAATTTATATAGGAAGGCAGATACATATATTTTTATTTCTATACATTTATATCTTGCAGCATATTACATTATAGAATTTATATAGGAACATGGATACATTTATGTATTTGTATAAAAACAAGACACTATGAAGCACACCATGAAGCGTGATAGAAAGGCAGTTGGCAAGCCTTCAGGGAGGGGCAGAAGAGGGGATAGAGGAAGAGGTGTAAATCCCACCCCCCAAACTGTGGTGCAGCCTCTTTCCTACAACTAGCAGGGATGAGGCTTCCAGAACCAGGAAGGAGAGGGGAGCAGTGCCAGTACCACTGCCTGTGCCTGAGTCTGCATTCCCTCCAAGAACACCTGCCATAATTCTCCTAGCCCCACCACCACTATGACAACAAACAGCAGCAACAGCACTAGCATGACTTTCTCCTTCACCCCCATTTCACTTTCCATGCTGAGCCTTCCAGTACCAGAGGAGGAGCTGGAGCTGGATCCGAGTGCCATACCAAGGGAAATTCTGGGGAAGGAGGGGGAAATTAGTTGAGTTTGTGTTCCACACCCTTCAAGTTTCCCTTAGAGCCAGGTCTCCTTCCCCAGAAGGCACTTCAGAGGAAGCTGAGGTAGAGGTTGCAGAGGCAAGCAGCTCAGCTGAGTCCACTCGTCCTGCTGCTGTGTCCCTGCCCGCTGAGGAGGGGGAAATTGCAGCATCCACATATGCACCCGCACCCCAGAAGTGAGCAGGTAGTGAGGTCTGGGATCATTTTGAGCTGGCAGATGATCCCGCATATGCTATCTGACTGCACTGCCGAGCCAAAACCAGCTGGGGCAAGGGAACAAAACACATGAGCACCATGGGGATGTTGATGCATCTCTGCAGGCCCTTGCTCCTCCTTAGCCTGGTACCAGTGTGAGCGTGCCCAAAGGGAAGTCCCCCTCTTGCTCCAAAGCCCCTGTCCCCACAAAGCAGAGGCAGGCCACCCTGGAACAGTGGGGGAAAGGCTGACAGAAAGGGGGGCGCATTGCAAGGGCAAGTGAGATCTTTGGGGAGATGCTTGCTGTCAACGGCCAGCCTTTCTCCTTAGATGAGTGGCCAGGGTTCAGGTGGCTCATGGCACTCATGGCCTCATCCTACCAAGTGCCCGCATGCACCACCTTCATCAGGATGGTGGTGCCCTCCCTGTATGAGACATGCAGGGAGTACTTGAGGGAGGAGCTGTGCAAGGCAGGTCCATAGGTAGCCTTACGCTTCACCTCCAACATCTGGAGCAGCTGGGGTGGAGATCATGCCTACCTCTCCATCACAGGGCACTGGTGCGACCAGTCAGGCCATCAGTGGGTTCTCCTTCAAGCCAAGGTGATAGATGAGTCCCACATGGCAACAGAGATCATGGGGGCTATGAACTGCTTGGTGCCTATGAACTGCACTTCAATCAGCCTCCTAGGTACAGAAACTCATGGACTCAATATAGACAGTGGAGTTCTGGCACACTACAACCTGCTGGACATCTGACTCCCCAGGTACCTCTCCACTTTTACCTGAGCTGCTACATCCCCCTTCCCCCACAACCCCAGCCTGTCACTCACTCCCTGATGCCTCCATTTCCTTTTTCACTGACTGGCTTTCTTGCCTGTGTTACATGCCAGGCCAGCCTCTGGCTTCTTTACTATTCCTTCCATCCAGGAACAGCACACACACACCCCCGCCCAACTGCAGGTTCTTCCTTAGCCTTACAAAGGGTTTTTCAACCCAAAAGCTTGCTAAGGTATATATCTGTAACTATTGTTGGTTTGCTAAAAGATACCAGTTTAGATTCACCCAAAGGAAAGGACCTTGTCTGCCAGTGCTATGTCCTTAGACCAACACCCCTAGCACCTGACCGGAAGGATGTAGGGCCCTGGGCACACCTAAGCCCCAGGGCAGGGCCTGGCAGAGAGACATCCCTGGCAGCTGCTGGAGCAGAAGCTCCTTCAGGAGAGAAAAGAAAGGCTTTGTCATAGTTTGGCTGCCTAAGGTGGTGCTGGTGCTACTGCTCACTAATTTTTTATTTTACCTGATGTCATTTAAAGTGGTAGACCAAGCTGAGGCTGTAGGGGAGAAGGAGACCTCACTGGGGCACACTACCATGTCATGTAGGGGCCACAGCACCAATAAGGGTGCACCTTAACGCGTGCATGTTCATGAGTGTGCGTGCACACACACACACACACACACACACACACACACACACACACAGTGTCACCCATGTCACGAGTTTTGCTTGTCAGCAGCCTGAGGTGCAGTTTCCCCAGAAACCCCTGCACCTATCTCCTTGAAACTTGGCATGCTTCATGGCCTCAGAAGGGGCTACCATCCCTGCAAGTTTCATCTGAATCAGGCAAGAAATGACATAGCTATAGGCAGTTTCATGCTTCCCCATTATAGCCTATGGGCAAAATATTGAAACAGCATCGAAACAGTGAAAGAATTTCGATGAAACAAAACAGAGCAGTGGTTTTGAAATGAAACAACTCAAAATGGAATACTGTCTCGTTGAAACGGAAGTTGAAATGAAACAATGCTGTTTTGCGCAGCCCTACTACCCAAGCAAAGACTATAGAATGCGATCCAGCCCAAACCTGAAGTGTGGTGTCATGGAGGATGCATTGCTTCATCTATGGGTATAGATCTTTTCGTGTTTGAATTTGGAGTTCTCAGCCATGTCAATACATTGCGTGTTTTGGGCCGGTACTAGGCAAGTTCTTTTGATGCAGATATGTGATGCGTGGATGTCAGAAGGCTGAGGATCAGAAGACACATTTTTCATTATGGTTTTGTTATTTACCTGTGACACTGGACAGGGCATGTTGCAGTTCCTTGCCTCAGTTTCTTCAAAATACAATCAAAATAAAAATATTTTTCTCTGTAAAGCACTTTGAAATCTATGGCACAAAGAGGCGGTGTCTTGTTGTTATTATCATTAATCCAAAATGGAAATGGGAGTGAGAGTTGAACTTAAGATGCTGTCATGCGCACAGCCTCTGTGCTATAGAGGTACTGAAAGACAGTCAGTTTCCCAGTCTTTTGGCTTGTTCTCCAGGTTGCATGTGGAAATGTGCCTGGACAAGATTTGAGCGAAATGAAAGTGAAAGCAGGGCTAAGGAGGCCAAAGAGGCACAAACAGATGCAAATGTTTTAGATAAAAGTGCCAAAAAACCCTGTTGAAGCCCCCAATCTATAGATGCTGGTCGAACTAATGCACTGCCTCTTCTAGTAAAGCATGTTCCCCCCCTCCATTGCTCAGCAGTCAGCATGAATAAGAAATGATTAGCTAACATGCATCAATATAAATAGCCATTAATTTGAAAAAAAAAAAAAAAAATCAGCTTCTTAGCTTGCCTATCTTCTATGTAGCCATAACAGTCTTCACCACTGGAAAAAGATGGAACATGGTGGCTGTGTGGCTAAAGAACAGGATTAGCAGTCAGAGATGTGAATTAAATTAAATAAGAGGCTATACCCACTATTGTGTTCTGTGTCTTTCGACTAGACTCTGTATTGAGTTGTGCCTTGGCTTCCCCATCTGTGAAACAAAGATATTGACTCTCCTGCCCTGGAAATTCTGAGGCTTCATTCATTCCATATTTTCAAAGCGCTCTGAGATTCTTGGATGAAAGGCAACCATAGAAAAGCAAAGCATTATTTCTATTTTTAAACTTGGGAGAAACAGGTTGGATAAATTATCCTGTGATTTTATTTGTAGAAGACCTGGAGTGGTCTCTATAACTCACGGGCAATCTCTTTCCTTCCTCTTTCAGGTACTACGCCATCTGTTGCCAGCCTCTGGTTTACAGGAATAAGATGACGCCAATACGCATTGCTGTAATGCTTGGAGGGTGCTGGGTAATCCCGACATTTATTTCTTTTCTCCCCATAATGCAAGGCTGGAATAGCATTGGCATAATAGACTTGGTGAGTAGTAAGTGGAATTCCAATTGCTTGGTGGGAAAAGTATGCTGTGATTGCATCCAGGATGTGCAGTTTGTTTTTCCTTGCATCCCTTTCTGGTATGGGGGAAAAAAGCAAGAGTTTTAGTGGCAAACACAAGGTCGTCTCTTCAGAGGAGCTGCTGAATGTCTGGAGGTGGGGCTTCTGTTTTAAAGGCCAGTAGGCATTCTGTTCAAGGAAGAAGAGCAGACTTTGGGTCAAAACTAGGAAAAAGAGAAATCTGTATTTCAAGATCTGTAGACTGAACCTGCAAGGTGCTGACTCCCACTTAACCACTAATTACACTGGGAGTCCAGTTGCATGTACTCTGTACAGGGAGCATATTGCACAGACCATGTTGTCTATAGATCAGATTGTTGCGCGAGTCCTTTAACTCATCAGGACTGCACATCTGCTTATAAGTTGAAGGCCCTTCAGTGTTCTGTTGTGTCCCTCTGATTGTTAGGGGAAATAAGCTTCCTATGAATTGATCTTGCACACACAGAATTTAACTTTTTCCTTGTGAGGGGGGGAGGGCTCATGTACCATGATTATGACTAACTCCTGACAGTAGCCGTATCTACACGAGACACTGACTGCACAGTAGCATTGCGTGGCATCAACCAGGATGCAACACTACTGTGCAGACACTAGTGCAGCAGCATCACAAAAAAGCCATTCATCAGCACTACTGCACAATAACTCCGATTACTGCAGTCATTTAGTATATGTTTATACAAGTACTAAGTGACTGCATAGTAATAATTGCGCGGTCAGTGTTTTCTGAGAGAGAGTCTCAGAAAGAGAAAGTCTGATGTTAATCTGCAAATGAAGGCATCTCATTGGCCAACATTTTCTAATGCACTTAGTGATTTTGAGTGTCTGAATTGTGACACTAAAAAGGGGGTTGATTTTCAGAGGGCAAATATTCAGTGCTTAAAAATGTCTCTAGTTGAACACCTAAACGTTGGGCTTTACAACATCACCACTCTCTTTTGAAGATCTTGGCCATAGGATCTAAACTGATACATGGTACAGTTAGAATTTGATGGTTGAGTCTTGCTCCTTTAAGAGCAATATACATGGAGATCTGAGACGTGAACTGGAAACCCTGGGTGGCCTGAGAGCATACACACGAGGCTAGGCTGGGCAGCTACTTCTTTTCCTTTTTGCTAAACACCGAAGCACTCAGAGTTTCAATGTAGCCCTTATTAGGTTAGGACAAAATCTCTCTCAGATTCTGGGCTATTTAAATTATACAGTCAGTTTTTATACCATTCCCTGTAACTTTATTTTCAGAATCTCTTTTGCAGGGCATGGAGGTAAGAGCTGTAAATCCCTGCCTGTCCTACCAGTATGTAGATGACAGAATTAACAGCAGTAAGAAAAATGATGCAGTGTAAAAATGCCCTATTTAAAGAGAACCTGGGGTAGCGTCCTACAAGCCAAGTCTCGAAACAAATAAAGTTTCAGACGCTCAGAGGCGATATTAATATTTTGGGGCTCTCATTTGGCACCAGGTGCAATCTGTCTGGTATAGGGACCAGGTGATAAAGCCATCATTACCAACAGATGGGCATCTTTAGATGATACGTTTTGTAAGAAACGAGGACCACTTTAGGTTATGCATTTTTAAAGAAATAATTTTTCCATCCATTGATTTTTTTGCATTGACTTTTCTGCCTGAATGGTTTTTAGAAAAAGCTTAATGTTATTTCTGTGTATTGACTCTTTAAATGCCAGAGCAAAGCACTTGCTGTAATTGTGTCCCTGTGTAACTGTCTTACTTGACAATGCACAGTACATGAAAGAAATAGGGTTATAGTCATGATGGGGCTTAGGCATGACAGTGTGGAAAACACCTCATGTCTACCTATTTTGAAAACATTCAACCTGTGTCTTCATTTTTAAATCAATGTGACAGTGGCCACTGCTTTTAATAAAGTGACAAGCTTATTCTCACCCCGTCTTGTTAAAATCAGTGCAGGAAAGAAAATGAAAGGAAATGATGCTTATCTCACAGGTGTGTAATGGCAGGAGTGTTAGTATTGGTTGAACTGATGCTTCATTCGTGTAGCAAAATGATTCTATCAGAGGATTTCCTAAACTCACAGACTCTAGTTTCTTTCTTTTTCTACCACCCACTCTCAGTTTCTTCTTTACCAGTGAGTATTCATGGTCTGGGGCCAGGGTCCAGATGCAGCCCACAGAATCCCCTACAAATACAGCCCCTACAAATATCTCCCCATGGAAGTTCAACACAAGAACATTACAGAAGCTCAAGGCAGATTTATGGCATATTAGACAGGAACTCTTTATAGGTTACAATTCTGTAGTCAAAAGATGAGGCTGGCTGAAATCTGTTCTGTTTAATGCAGATCATGAACTTCATTCAGGCTCTTCTCTATTTTCCAAGATGGGCTTGGTTAGGAAAAGTCTGGAAAGTCTTATTGCTGGTAGATGTTGGATGAAGAGCAGAAAGCAAATATTACTCTTCTTTTGCTTTTGTCTGAGGTTGTGGGGGGTTGGTTTAGATTCTTTGATCTCTAATTCAGAGAGATCACGAATATTTAACAGCCAGGTTGAGGAGGTCTCTGGCAAGTTTGGAGCAGTGGCACTCACTACAGAGTAATAGCCCATCAAGAGCTGCAGTGCAGCACATTGCATGGTGATGAACACTCAGGGAGGATGTGATATAATGGCAGATGGAAAAGACAGGCACAATAGAAAGGAGAAATGAAGGAGAAAAAAAGAAGAAGATAGAAGCAAAAGCCAGTTGAGGAGGCAGAAAAGCAACCAAGTTGTCAGATTTGTGTCATCAGAGAAACTGTGATAAACATTTTCTTGTTTTTTGTTCTTGTTGTTTTTTCTCCCCTCCCCATCCCACCCTTTTAGATACAACAAAGGCAGTTCAACAAGGCTTCCAACTCAACGTACTGTGTATTCATGGTCAACAAGCCGTATGCCATTACCTGCTCAGTGGTGGCCTTCTACATTCCCTTCCTCCTGATGGTGCTGGCCTACTATCGGATCTACATCACAGCCAGGGAGCATGCCCGCCAGATCCGGATCCTCCAGCGTGCGGGAGCTCCCACAGATGGGAGGCAGCACCATCCCGACCAGCACAGTACCCACCGTATGAAGACTGAGACCAAAGCTGCCAAAACCCTGTGCATCATCATGGGGTGCTTCTGCCTATGCTGGGCTCCCTTCTTTATTACAAACATAGTGGACCCTTTCATAAACTACACTGTGCCCGAGCAGCTGTGGACAGCTTTCCTGTGGTTGGGCTACATCAATTCAGGGTTGAACCCTTTCCTGTACGCCTTCTTGAACAAATCTTTTAGACGTGCCTTCCTCATCATTCTGTGCTGTGGTGATGAACGATACCGAAGGCCTTCCATCTTGGGACCAGCTGTCCCCTGTTCTACCACCACTATAAATGGATCAACGCATGTGCTAAGGTGAGTGGTTTTTAGACATAGCAGAATACCGTGAGTTGCTTTCAGCAGTTGTTTTGCTGTTGTCAGTGACTTTTTATCAAAAGGACCAGTGTCTTTTTCCAGAGGGTACCTAAATGGTTACATTTCCAAAGGAGGTGCAATTATAACACCAGAACAAACTTGGAGTAGTGCCTGATCAATGCCAGTTGATGCGGGCCTACACATAGGTTGCACTATTACAATAGGCCCCACACATTCATAGATGTTGTTAAGTGTTAGCCTGCAGATCCTGTGAGCCTGATGCAGGTAAGGGGTCACAGCTCTGTTGAGAGTCATGATTTGGGAGGAGGATAAGGTGAGTTAGTAGAAAGCGTGAACATTGTGGTTCTCTACCAGGAGAATGAATACTGTATGAAAAGTGCCTCCCTGACTTGCTATCAACAGGCTGGGGAAGTAAGCAAGGAGTGGTTTGGGGAAGGTCAAGGTGAGCAACGTTTATTTTCCAGTGTGTAGTGGCAGCATACTACGATTTGTTTATGGGAAGATAGGACTGAACCCCTTTCATAAACACTGTTATGGATACATCTGTTCCATTTAACTACACCATCCCAAGTGGTCAGAATTACACCTTTGTGAAAGGCAACCCTTCTAGTTAGCAAGAGTCTTCATTATAATTCCATATTATGCCTGATTCTCTTTGTAAAATCCCAGCCATTTTCTTTTTTCAATCAATGGAAGGAGCCTGATTCTTATTGGCATGCCATAGTAATCATTTACCCTGTGTTTTTCTGTGAATTTCATTAGCAGCTAATGGCCTCCAGCTAAGGTATTTTAAGAATGTGCTTGCAAAAGGACGTCTATCTTTTATTGTTGTCAAGTGTTAGCCTGCAAATCCTGTGAGCCTGCTGCAGATAAGGGGTCACAGCTCTGTTGAGAGTCATGATTTGGGAGCAGGATAAGGTGAGTTAGTAGAAAGCATGAACATTATGGCTGTCTACCAGAAGAATGAATGCTGTATGAAAAGTGCCTCCCTGACTTGCTATCAACAGGCCCGGGAGGTAAGCAAGGAGTGGTTTGGGGAAGGTCAAGGTGAGCACCTTTTATTTTCCAGTGTGTAGTGGCAGCATATTATGATTTGTTTATGGGAAGATAGGAGTGGACACTCATAGCTGTGTGTAATGAGTGATTCCTAGATAACTGTACTAGTGTCTAGAAATGTATCCCTGCTGTGAAGTTCAGTTTGGAAGCTGAACTCCCAGAAACTGAGTTTGATATGTTGATTTGCCTGTTTTTGTGATGAACATCAAGCCATCTGGAAATAGGCCCGTGGAAGTTTAACAGGTGGAGGACAGGTAGGGCCTCAGCAGAATATCTCCTCTCAGATGCTCTGAAAGACCCTTTAAAGTTTCTGAGCCACAAACAAGGCTTATTTATTTAAAATTCTCTGCTGATTAAAACTAAGTGCTGAAGGCTAAGCTCCTCATGCCAGTGATTCATCACCAAGCCTTGGCACTGTGCCACATCCGAGTCTGTGTCTGAGCTGGTATTTACATCGTAGCAGTGCTCTCAGGGATGAGCCAAACACTTTTCTCCCAAGGAAGGATTTACAGATCAGCCGTGCTGTCCCTGGCACTGCTCACTTTGAAAGAGCTCTCCAGCACATGACAAGCAAGCCAATAACTCTTCCCAGGGAACTGCTGGATGAGGTATATGCGTCACCGCAAGGAAGCAGGGAGGGAAAAGACTGTGGACTTGCAGCAGCTTTATATGATGATTCACTCATTTGTTCGGCTCAGGATGTTTATGAGACCAGTTGCTGTGGGGACCAGTCAGTGGCTCCACCGTTTTGGAAGTCCAGGCATGTGAGGACAGTCGAGTGGCCTGAAAAGAGAGGGAGACCCGTATTTGTCTAGGTCAGTGGGTCTGGGGGGTCAATTCCACACTGTCAGACAGACAAGTCAGAGGGTTTATAGTGAACTGCCTTTCTCTCTTAAATGGGTTGTTTGGAGGGGTGGGAAGAGAGGGAACATGTTCTAGAGAGAGTGAGCAATGAAGGAAGCCCTGGAGGGATGAGTTGACTGTGGTTTCCTACGTCCGTCTCTAGGCATCCCAGTTAGCCATCACAAGGGCATCCTTCTATTAAACTGTCCTTGGATATAGCTGGAAACTGTAGCCAGAGAGAATGCAGTAACTCATTCCCTGCCAAGCTAGAACTGGCCACAGTAGGAGAAAGTTATTGGACTATAATAAAGGGGATTCTATATGGTGGTGGCATCCCAACAAGTGTTTTCTATTTGTAACTTTCCATACCTGAATCCTTCTTTTCCCAATGCTTTTCCCTCGCAAGTCCTTTGTGTGAATGAGTGGTGATATAAGAACCAATTGCACTTTTTCCTCTGTTTCTATGACTTTCTTAGAGTGGACAGAGCAGTTAAAAATGCAAATAATTCCATATAGAGCAGGGAAATGGGTTAGGACTCTTTAGGTATTTTCCACTTTTTACTCCTCTGACTCCACAACGATTTGTTCTGACAAACTCTTGGGTAAGATAGATCACATCTCTTTAGTGGGCTGAACTCAGTGAAACTCAGCTCACTTCCCATTGGAGTAACATCTCCCAGTGCCTCCCAAATCCTGCTTAGCATAGCAAAACCTAGAAGTCTGCTTTACGTTGCAACCTCCCAACTCCTCTCCACTGGAGCCCAGGGTGATCAAATGATGCTGCTGAAGAATGCATGCTCTGCACAACAGCCCTTCAGAGAGCAATTACTTTCTTGGTTTCTTCAGCTTCCTAAACTGATGAGAAATTGTTAGATGTTCCCTGTGGGCATTATACATTCATATGAATAGATGTTTGGGGTTAACATAAAACTGCCTAATTATAATCTGTGGGCATCTAGTCTTGCTAGAAAACTTTTTTTCTAAGTTAAATTGCATCAACACTTCTTTTACAGACAAAACATGTTGGGACCTACATGGAGAGAGGATAAAGTCAGTCAGGTAGATTCTTGTAAGCTATAGGCTAAGTATCTCCCTTCACCAGACTAGGTTTTTTACCCAAGCAGGTGGGTGCTGACACCCTCCGACAGAATTTTCCAGTGTGTGGGGACAGTTTTAAAGTCATGTCCTTGGCTTCATAGAAATTGCAATGAAGAAACTGTTCAGCTCTGGTGCTCTGCACATTTTTCTCTTTACTTGAACGGCACTCCTTTCTTGACTAAGATTTCCCATTTTTTGGCTTGTGATGACCTCTACAACTCCCTGAGCAGAGGGCAAGTTGCAGCTGCTATCTGCATTGCCCCAGGGTCAGCGATGACAGAAGTATTGCACTGAATCTGTGCTTTCTACAGAAAAAAAGAACTTGAAAGCTTCATCCTGGCAGGATAACTTATTTAGGGATACAGGAATACTGACCCCAGTACTCTTTCCTGCCATGGCAGGGGGTCGGACTAGATGATCTACTCAGGGCCCTTCCGACCCTAGAAACTATGAAACTATGAATAAATACTAGCTTATGTGGGGATAGAGGCCTTACCTGTGTCAGATGCCCTACTCATAAGTAGCTCTAACTTCACTGGGTCACCTTGTTACTTCAACTGAAACGATTTTCTTATCCCTGAATACTGTAGCTATCAGGTATTTCTGAGGCAGACTAGAGGTTCTAGATAGGATGGGCATGTTCATCTTGGTTTAAGATGGGTTGTAAATACTGTTCTGGGATGCATCTGACTTAAAACATTGAAAAAAGTGTTCTTTTTTATGCTATTTGCATCAAAGGCTAGGGATAGACTTTCAAAAAGCCTGAGTCTGAATTGGTTCAGTCTTTGTAGGGTAGCCTAACCTGGCTAGGCTGAACTGGTTTGTAACTGCACAGACATCCCCTCTGGACTGAAGAAATGCAGGCACATGCCTGCAGTGGCTCAGGCTAGAAGCCAGCAGGGAGTTACACAGGAAGTAATACAGCATTTAACACACTATCAAGAAAACAAAAGCCTCACTTTATAGGAAGAGCTTGAACTAAACAACTTTTTCTGAGGAAGGAACACAGAGACATTACCTGCTGACCTGTTGATTAGCTCCAAAAAACCCTAAGTAGACACTGTCCAGTCTGCCTTTGTCTTGTCTGCCTTACACACACCTCTCAGCATTAGCTAGCAGACCACATGCTGGTTACAGTCTGTGCTGTGGGAGAGGGGAGAAGGGGAATCCCTGCTTAAGCAATGAGCGGTGGGGGGAAGAGGGGCATGGGGAAGCCAGGAAGACCCTGTACCTGAAGTCTTTGTCTGAGCTCCAGCTAGGGAGCAGAGGGGTGGGGCCAGCCCTGCTCTGGAGCAGAGAGGGCTGCAAAGCATCTTGGATGCTGGGGGACTGGTTTAAGTTAAACCAGGAAGGGGTTTGGGACAGACATTGCATAAACTGGTTTGAGCCAAATCAGTTACTACATTCAACCAGGTTTATCTCAGACCTGCTTCAGCCATTTTCAAACTGGTTTATGTGCACTGAATGTCTGTTCTGTTACAGATTTAAACCAATTTCTGATCACTTAAACCAGTTTGTGTGTAATGTCTGTCCCTAGCCAAAAAGTTCAGACTATGCCAGTTAGAGATTTTTCACCTTTATGTTAGGAGTGGAAAAAAGGAGGAAGGATCAGGTAAGACACCCTACATTGACATAGGAGACAGACTCCTTCACCAAATCCAAACCAACAAAAGAAGAGACTTTTGGGCTCCTATAGACATGCAGGGAGCTGGCTCTGGTGCACTGGAAATCCAGCACATTGGAGCAGACTTGATTAATTGAGTCTGCTAGAGCATGGAAATAAGCATGCTCTAGCAGACTCTGGCTTCATGTGTATCAGTGTCTCCATGCTGAAAAATGGTGGTGAGGTGCTTTGAACTAAAGTTCATTCAATGAGCTTTTGTTCAAAGCGCCCTGCCACCATTTTTCAATGCAGGGGGACGCTGACACACGTGATGCTCGGACACTTTTACTTAGCATGGCTCACTAAATAAAGTGCCTTT